GAGGACCTCAATTGCTGCAAAGTAATGTTACTGATACACTGAGCTAAAAATAATAGTGTATATTATGTGGAATGGCAATAGCTGTCACCTTACTTGCATACAACTTATTAAACTTTACAGGAAACAGGAGTTAATTTCTACATGGCTTCAAAATGTACCATTGAATCTATTTCAGAATCCATGGAACCACTTAATTTAATGAATCATCTGTTGTGGCAAATAAAAATTGGGAATCAATTAAGGTTACTGTTATTGCTTAAATTAATTTTGATTAGTAGCTTCTACTGAAATATTTAACATTTTAAATTATTTGACAATTACATTTTTATTTTACCGGATAAATATTCTATGTTTGATATCAATGTTATATTTTTCTGAAGTTAATATAAACCAGTTATATACTCCCTTTTTCTCATCCTAGAAGAAACACAAAACTTACTTTTTTCCCCCAAACCTGAGTTATACCGGCAATGGGTGAGGAGAACTGCAGCACTGTGACGGAGTTCATTCTCCTTGGATTATCTGATGACCCTGAGCTGACAGTCTTCCTCTTCCTGCTGTTCCTTCTCATCTACGGAGTCACGGTTTTGGACAACCTGGGCGTGGTTGTCCTGATTCGAGTCAGCTCTCGACTCCACACTCCCATGTACTTTTTCCTCAGCCACTTGTCCTTTGTGGATTTCTGCTACTCCTCAATCATTGTGTCAAAGATGCTGGCTAATATGTTAAACAAAGACAAAGCCATCTCCTTCCTGGGGTGCATGGTGCAATTCTACTTGTTTTGCACATGTGTGGTCACTGAGGTCTTCCTGCTGGCTGTGATGGCCTATGACCGCTTTGTGGCCATCTGTAACCCACTGCTATACTTGGTCACCATGTCCCAGAAGCTCTGTGTGGAGCTAGTTTCTGGCTGCTACCTCTGATCTACCACCTATCTTTTCTCTTGCCTGCTCTGATGTGTTTATTAATGAACTCGTGGCATTTATTGTGCCCACTTTCAATGAGATCATCACCATCACGATCATCCTCAGCTCCTACTTGTTTATTCTCATCACCATCCTGAGGATGCGCTCGGCAGAGGGAAGGCACAAGGCTTTTGTCACCTGTGCCTCCCACCTCACAGCCATCGTTGTCTTCCATGGGACAATCCTTTTCACTTATTGCCGACTCTGTTCAGGCGATGGTGGGGATGCTGACAAAGCGGCCACAGTGTTCTACACAGTCGTGATTCCCATGCTGAACCCCCTGATCTATAGCCTGAGGAACAAGGATGTGAAAGAAGCTCTAAGAAAAGTAGTGAGATTCAAATTACCTTCTGAGGACCTACGTTTTTAGGTGGATTCAGGTTTGCAAAAAGGGCCTTTAAGGGAGTTGAGTTTGGAAGAATGTGGATGAAATGTCTAATAAGAAAATAATTCTGGAGCCTGGGAATTATGTATACTTTTTTGATTGCCCAAATAAGTATATATGAAGCCATATGTTATACCCATTATTGAAAAGTTTAAGTGAAAATTCCACATTTGCTGTTCCTCTCCAGTCTTCCCTTGTTTTGATGGGTTGTGGGGTGGTGTAATTAGACTCCATTTCTTGGTTTGAGATAAGACCAATATATTTCCATAGAGACATGTCTTTACATCATCTTTAATACATGCAACCATTTTTATTAAATTGAATTCATTTTTCTTATAGGGATAAATGTATACTTATTTCATAGTCTATGCTTTTTCTGAAAAATTTAGAGTGAGTTTCCTATATGTTTATGTGTATTTCTGGGTGTTGTTTTTTTCTCATTTTCAGTTATTTTCTTTTTTTATTACTTTTTCTTTTAGAAGGTTATGATTTTGAAACTTTTAAAAATGCTCTCATCTATAAAATGGAGATAATATTGTCCCACTTTTTTTCATTAAATTATCTTGAAAGTTAAATAATGTATCTTAAATTCTTAGCACTATATCTGGTATATACCTAATAAATGAATGAACTGATATTATTATCATTGTTATTTTTATTTCTACTTTTGCTTTTTATTTTACCTTAATTATTGACTATGTATTTGATAACCTACCCTTTTAAAGTTTCCTTGTCTTTGTTAATGTTTTCTTTTCTTTTCTGTATTTTCTTTTTTCTTTATTTTTCTCCTACTGGAAAATATTTTCAGAATTTATTTCATTTAAAGAAAATCTATTGTACTTTAAACCCATTGTATTAATTTCCTATGACTTCTGAAAATATTCCCACAGTGTTGGTGGGCTAAAACTTTCCTCTGTCACAGTTCCAGAGGCCAGAAATTTTAAATCAGCATCACTGCAATGAAATCAAGGTGTGGATCCCTCAGGTGTTCTAGAGGAGAATTTATTCCTTGCCCCTTCCAGATTCTGGTGTCTGCAGGCATTCCTTGACTTGTGGACATATCACTTCAGTCTTCAGGGTTGGGATGTTTAAACTTCTCTCTGCTACATCTCCATCACTTCGTGTGTGTGTGTGTGTGTGTGTGTGTGTGAAATAACCTTCTTCCTCTATGTTACAAGGACATTTGTTGTGGTGTTTAAAGCTACTCAGTTAATCCTGGATAGTCTCCCCATGTGAAGATCCTTAACTTAATCACATCTGCAAACAACCTTTTCCCAAATAAGGTAGTATTTACAGGTTCCAGGAATAATAGACTGATGTTTCTGAAATTACATTTTTAAGTTTAACACACCCATCTTCTAGAGGCCAAATCATTTTATTTATTTATTTTTACACTAAGACTTCAAGTGTTTTCTTGCTCTTAAGATTGTATTGGTCATTTGTTATTGCTTTTATTATTATGAGTCATTTACTTAAACGCAACATAGACTCAATTCAATTGGGAAAAGCACTTGATGTGAAATTAAATACTTGTGTCCAGGTTCTGAGTCTGATGACAAACCTTGAGTAAGACACTTAAAGTCATTTAACTTCAGTTCATTAAAATATAAATGAGAGGAGCTGCCAGCCTTAGAGCATATTGTTGGGCTTAAACATATGTAAAAACTGTAAGAACCTGGCCCATAAAATACACATTCTTTAATGATTCCTAAAAAGAAATCTTTGAGGTCAAGTGTCACTGGCTAACCATTAAAAAGTAAAAAGATTCTAGGGGTCTGGAGCAGCCGTGACAGGAGACAGCGTGATCCTGTGAGCCGTGCGCTGTGATACCAGAGTATTGATTGCATTTTCAAGAGCAACAAAAGGCNCTACATTGAAGTTTACTAGTCAGCTCTCCAAAAGGGCTGACCCGTGCCGGGGAGAGTGAAAGAGGAATTGTGTGCTGAGGGACCCTCCCCTGAGGAGTTCACTCACAGCAGTAGGAGAGTCAGGACACCTGGTGGTCAGGGCGGGGCAGGGCACAACTTTGATGACTCAACTGAAAGTCAAGGTTTGTAGAAGACACGCCTCAGCCCTGTCCTGAGCACACAGAGTGGGGAGGGGCCCAGCTAAAAGAGGCGGAATCTCAGAAATAAATAAAGAAAGAAAGATCAGGTATGCAGCTGGCAGGAACAATCTGCAAGGCTCAATAGCCCAATCTATTGAATCAGAGGTCCAAGATTCGAGAGAAAACCCCTGCAAAAATGAACAAACCCCCAAAAAGAGATACCCAAAATGCAAAAAACCAAGAAAATACACCAC